TCCTGGTGGGACATGCCCGGAACACCTCGCCCAGGAGGTGCCCAGGAGGCATCCGTGAATCGCTACCTTATCGTGGTGGAGGGGTTTGCGTGTCCCAGGGATCCCAGGGGCTATGTTGTCTGGGGGCTTTTGCCCCCTGGTAGAGTCTCCCATGGCAAATTGGTCCTGGGTGAGGGACCAGACAAAGAGCGATTCAGAAGACCCTTATGAGAAAAACATTGAGGGAACAGTTTACCCTGCCCGGGATAGGGTTACCAGGGCCCTGCCCTGGAGCCAGGCCCGGGAAGGGTGCCCAAGGGCGAGCATCTGGTGGCCGGGCCTTAGTCCATGGGGCCCAGCCAGGCCCAGCGTGAAAAGGGGACATGGGCCCATCCTCCCGCAGGCCCACCACCTGCAGGAGGAACCGTAGGGGTCGGGTGCATTGTGTGCTGGGCAGGAGGCCCTGGCGGACTGATCCCCGGCTATCAAGACTGGCACTTGCATGTTTTACATCATCAAATCAAATTTAGATCAAACAAGACCTCAGTAAATTTAAAATGCAGATTTTAAATGATGATTTTCATTAAGGAAAAAAAAACTCTACCTAATAATGGTTGTTCCACCACTGGCACCAATGAGTCTTTAACATCACAGTGGGGGAATATTGGCCCACTGTTTTTTGCAGAATTGTTTTCATTCAGCCACACTGGAGGGGTTTCAAGCATCTCAATTGATTTTAAGTCTGGACTTTTATGAGGCCACTCCAAAAAATTTAAAAAAAATATTTTTTTTGAGTCATCCAGAGGTGGATCCAGATCTTTGTCCTTCTGTATAACCTGAGTATGCTTGAGCATCAGGCAATGAACTGATAGTCGGACTTTCTCCTTCAGGATTTTCTGATACAGCGCAGGACTCACGGTTCCATCAATTACAACAAGTCGTCCAGGTATTAACCACCTTACTACCACCACCATGTTTAACTGTTAGTGTGATGATCATTTTATGAAATGCTGTGTTAGTTTTATGCCTGATGTAATGGGACTCTTTTGGTTTTTGAAATTAAATTAATTACAGGAAATTAGAAGTCATCATTTAATAACAGGGAGCAATTACTTTTTCAGATTGGGGCACGTAGGTTTGGATAACTTTTTCCACTTAATGAATGAAACTATCATTTAAAAATACAAGTGGCCATTAGTACTACCCCTCAGCCTCCTAATACGCTCCTGTGGTATAAATTTGATAATCCAAGGTGATTCCTTTGAGTTCAAGGTAGATGAGATTTGTAATAGATGCACCTAAGCTATGAATTTAAAAACCCTACGTTGCCTCATTCTTAAGTTATTGTGTTCAGAATCATAGGTCCACGCCATCCACCCACTACGTTTTGTATTACCTGCGTTATCTCTGTATAATATGATGATCTGAAACATGTCGAGATACCAAGAAGGTTGCAAACACCCTTTCAAATTAACAGAAATGTGGAAAATACAATTTGATTTCAGTTGTAATTTCGTTGGTTAGTTATTAGATTATGTGTTTTCTGTATAATAACAACACCCCAACAACGCCGGTCCAGTCCATAGCCTTAACAGAGAAAACAGGCCTCTCTCTCCCCAGCTGCCTACTTCATCGTTTCCTTGGACAAAGTCAGCATTCCCGAGCCCCTTGAAAGATATCATCTCTCAAGTATGTCACAAGTCTGCTGCAGGGCCTCATCCCATTAGGACGTGCCCAAAGCCAGTAAGCGTCCAGCTCGGATCAGATAAACTACCTCCACAGCTCCTTTCGAGGTGGGGGAGCAGCCGCTCCTCACCCTACCTCTAAGGGAGAGCACAGATGGTCTTTTGGAGCAATCTCACTTCTGCTTGTGTCTGCAGTCTTATTCTTTCGGTCACGGCCCGCAGCTCGTGGCAATAGGTGATGGTATGAATACAGATCGACCAGTAAATTAACAGCTTCACGCCAACACTCAGGTCCTTTCACCATAATAGAGTGTTCCAGCGTTACTGCAGACATCTGCAGTAAATAAATGTAATACTTGCTTGTTGAAATACTTGGGCAGTCACAGACTTTGTTCTGATATTATAATTTAAAATACTTTTCCTTTTTGGGCACACCTCTGTAAGGTACACAAAGTCACCTTAAAGTATAACAGATGCATTCAAGTAGGGACAGATGTGGGATTTTAGTGTACTGCTATTTCTTAAGAGTGTAGGGGATAAACTAGAATAGAATTAGTATTAAGGATTATCATGAGTGACAGCAACTGGAAAGTGGTGACAATTCAAGCTTCCTACGCATGTGAACAATGAATTAAGACAATAAAGCACACAAACCACCCGAAGACTCAGTGAAGGTGCAAAAGACTAAAACAGAAATATTGGCATACTGACGCATTTATATTATCCTGATGTTCCCCATCAACAGAGAGGGACAAATTTTAAGAAGCACATAAATAGAAGGCCAATAGGTGTCAAGTCTTGCATTAAATTTAGGAGAATTGATGTTAAAATACTGAAGCTGCATCTTTCTTCTCTTATCTTGACAATCATCACAAGCTAAATCTGTCAGCGGCCTCTCTCTTGGCAGCTTTTTCTTTCTTTTTATACCTCCCCAGAAGTATGATTTTTCTGGTTGATAACAGTATTTATTTAACAGAGAGAATTCCTCCTTCACAAAAATATCAAACAGTTGGCTAATTTCACCTTCTGCATTACATTTTAAGGTGCTTCCAATGAGGAGGATGTTTAAATAAAAAAATGACAAAAACAAAAAGGGGGGATTGTGTCACATGCTGTAATAGCAGCTCTGCTGTGATATTAATGATCAGACCTGATGCAAAGTACATCTTCTCATTTTCCCCTCTGCTGTGCTGACAAACTATCTGCAGCAAATTCACTTAAATACTTTATAAACCGCAGACTAGGTGACATTCAGTCTTCAAAGACAAGGTGAACGCACTGTAGGATTAAAAATAAATAAATAAATATAGACCAGCATATTTATACAGAGCACTTGTCGCTCTCCTCCTCTCAGTCTCCTCTTCATTAGCTTCCATTCACCTTCCTTTGTCTCTATGCACTGAGCTCTTTATTCCCTGGAGAACATCTATTCATTTGGTTGGGGTGAGTACACTGTGGTTAGTGAGCCGTCTGAATAAAGGAGGCTGGCTTTAATCCCCCTTTCACTGTGGAAACAGGCGGTTTGTCTGTGATAGTGTAATCACGGAACGAGCTCTCTGGATTACCAAATGAGCAGAAGAGGTTCGGCGGATCAGCAGACTAAAGCGCAGATGAGGCCGTGCTAGGTTGTCCTGGTTATACATAAGATCTTAGAAGCATGTTAGGCACTTGAAACTTTAGACCAGCTTCTGACAGATGCTTTATCCTCGTTGTTCTGGCCTTTAGTTTAAGACTATTCAGGGAAGTCTTAAACTAAAGGCCATGAGAAGTTCAGGGAAGCAAAATCAATCTATGATTCAGTGAGAACTGACCTGGTTCACACTAAAATATCAGCAATTAATGGGATTTCCTGACTACTTCCTTTTTCCAAAATATTCATATATATGTAAAAGTATATATCTGTACTCTAAAAAGCCTGAAAGTCAATATTAGGCATGCCTAAAGCCCGAACTCTTTTAGGCAAGTTTTTTGTTGTCATTTCTTTAAGCAGTCTTAAGGAATAGTTCTCCAGACGTCTTGTAGGACATTCAGAGTTTTTCTTTGGATGCTTGTTCACTAATAATGAGGTACAGGCTCTGAGGAGGTAGTTCAAGGCTGATAGTGTTTTCTACCCAGATATGCTTTTTGTTTGGGATCATTTTCATGCTGATAGATGAAGCTGTTGCCAGTCAAATGCTTTCCAGGTTATATTGTGTGCTCGCTCAATCTAACTGTACTTTTCTGTGTTCATAATTCCATCAAATTGGACAAGCTCTCTAACGCAGTAGTACCAAACCATGACAGAGCCACCATGGCTTTACATGTTTACAGACACTCACTATTGTACTCTCCCCTGACCTTATCAGTAAGTACTGATGCAGATTTGAACCTAAAATGTTTCCAATTATTTTCAGTCCAGTTCTTGAGTAATCTGGCAAAACTCACCTTTCCTCCTTTTCCTCTTCGTGAGAGTCACCTTTGTACTTAAACCATTTCTTAGAAAGCTTCAGTGAACAGTAGTTCCTGTCTCAGGTCAGTGCTGGATTTTTTTTCTATTGCTTTAGGTGTTTTCAGATACTGTTCATATGCTGTTGAAAGCTTTTCAGGCCTGCCACTATTTCTTGTGCCCTTCCCTTGTAGTTATTTGTCACAAAGTACACAATACCCTTTGCGTAATAACTGTCGATGTGGAACTTATGAATGGAGGGAATTAATTATCGATTTAAGAAAGCGTGTGCATGAACTTTCAAGGCAAAACTCCACAAACAGAAACAGAGGTATAGATGAGATGTTACGATTACCGCAGCACTTTCACTTTGGCCTCAAAAGGAAGAATTCATCAGATGCTGTTGAATCCTGACAAAAACTCTAACAGAGTCATTTAGTAGCTGTGTGAAAAGTACATCAGTTCACACCTGAAAACAGTCAATTTTACTCTGAGAGGATTTTGAATAATCACTCTTCAAAGGTCTATGGACGTTAACAGAGACTTTAACACTGGGGGCTTTAACACTGGATTGAGCTGAAAAGCTGCAGAGCCCACCAAGACTAATGCTCTGTCACAGTCAACGGTGGAAGCAGCAGGACCCGTGTGTGTGTGTGTTTACGTGCATTTGTGTGTGTGTTTAATCTACTAACAGCAGGAAATGAAAATAAGTAAATAAAAAGACAGAAATTACCCATCTGTTCTCAATTTCATACTCTGTTAAAAGAAAAGATGAAGACGGAGGATGCTATTGTTGCTTTTCCATTTAAAATACATACACACATTCTTGTTTTTCTATCTTACTGAGGACATCTAATTGACATCTAATTTTTGGTCCCCACAAAGACATCTAAACCGGTACACACACACACCTGAGTGTTTCAGTCCATTTGAGCTCCAGCTCCAGAGCCATCTTGTCCATCTTATGTTTTTCTTCTTCTTTGGTGGTGATGAGTTTGGCTTCATGCTGACGTTTTTGGGTCTCCAGCTCTCCCTGAGAGAAGGACACATTGGCTTCAGTCCACCATTGCAGTCTAAATCATATGTTACACTTAAACTCTGTGGTGTGCACATCACTTAAGATTCTCAACAAGTTTTGACCTGCCTAGCTGAAGTTTTGGTCTGACGTGCATGCTGTCTAAATACCAGTCATGCACACATTCACAGCTAGGGTTGCCAACTCCCTGAAAAATAAATAAGGGACACCTCGTGGCCAGGGCCGGGCGACCCAGTTGTCTTCACCCTTCCCAGTGTGGTGAATTTTCTAGCTCTTTTTTTGTGTGTGAAATTATTTTTTTTAACCCTTTGACTTGAATTTGATTTAAGTAGATGTGTATTCTTTGTGATATGAACACATGTGAAACAAATGATCATTTAGCCATTTATTTTTAGCTCAAAATGACAACATTAACACATAAAACAGGTCTCTTTCTTAAACAGAAGCCTGTCATGCTTAACTTTTGAGAATATAAGTAAATCTTTCTTTAAAAGAACTCTGTCCTGCTTAACTTAAAATAATAGAAAACAATAGAAAGAAAAATATTCTTGTAACAGTGCACATTTAGTGCATTTAGTACAATTGGCTTCAGCTGAGGTATTATTTCAGCTTTTCTAATGCTAATCAGCTGCTCCCGTTTGAAAACCCGCTTGTTCCCATGATTACGCATCTTAACTCATCATCATTATTCATCTATGTATTACTTTTATGTATTAGTCATCTATTTGTAATCATCTATCCTTGCAGTTGTTTATTACACAAAATAAATTATATTATCACACTTCTGGCCACATAGCGCTGATATTCACTGCACATGCCCATATTAACTTTTTCCAGCCAGGTGTTTTCCTTTTCCCATTCTTCCCTTTCTCTGAGGGGAACAAACATTGCTGCTCTAATGCTGGGCTTACACTGTGCGGTTTTAGGCCCATTTTGAGCCGATTTTTGAATGATCTTCATCATGCGTCGTGTAGTATACGTGGGGTAACGAGAAGTGATTAACACCTCACGACCAGCTCCCGATCATCAATCGTGAGCCGCTCACACTGCTCGCGCGCAAACACGTAAACGCCGTGAAAAAGACGGCGCAGCACGGCTGTGCAGCGTGTGATCTGGACACAAGCGATGGAGGCACAACTTGTAGAACTTTGAAAAGCTCATCCGAGCCTTTTCGATGTGGCCTCACAAAATTATCACGACCACAACAACCGTGAAAATAGTTGGATCTACATCGCTGCTCAATCACAGCTGCCTGATCATGTTTTTCATTAGCAATTTAGCAAAGTTGATGGTGGTGGTGTGTCTGTGTGAGTGAAAGACAGAGAGAGCGAGCGACAGATTTTCTGTTATAACCTTCATGTTATGGAGGCACAGTGTGAGCACTCAGGTCGCATCAGAGCATCGGGTCGTATAGTGTGAGACCTGCATCGTGACCTACCAACTTCTAACCCCTGCGAGTCAATCGTGCAGTTTGAGCAGGAGCTGAATAACGCGACTGAAAAAATCGCACAGTGTCTGCCCAGCTTTAGGTGTACTGTCGTCCGAGACTTGCACCGCAGTGACAGCATTTGTTTCCCTGTTGGCCATGCTTCTTGTTGTGGTCATCTGTTGTCTTCCGGTATTTTCTCCGTAAGCGACCTTTCCTCGACCAATGAGATGAGCGGTAATCTGAATTGTATACTCGAATTGTCATAAGTGTGCTGTCAGCTCATTGGTCACAAAGCAGGAGAGGGGCTGGAATTATGTTTCAAACAAAGCGTTAATTCCATTAACATTTATAGACTACTTTTGATTCTCACTGTATTACGGACAAAGTGCGTCCTTATTAGCTCAATACCGGACGTGTACTTTTGTTTCTAAATACGGGACGATTCCGTATTTTAAGGGACGGTTGGCAACCCTATTCACAGCACCTGCAAGCTAAAGAGCCAGCTAACAAGGGAAGCAACAAAAAGGAAAAGTTGCTGAAGGCAGAATAATTTCAGCAGTGGTGTGAGACTGAGCAGCCTACGCCTTTACTGAGTGCAGAGAGAGAGACCCGTGTATTCACCATTAGACACTTTCTGTTTTCAAAGACTATGATTTGCATCATTACTATTTTGTCTTTTCTGTCTTTAAGGAACTTTCTACACATATATTGCGCTCTCATGTTCAGGCCCGTTAAACAGCCTGTGCAAAATTCTGAAAAATGTTATAAAGTTACTTCTTTGCTTTTACATCAGCATACATTTGGTCTTATTGAATTTCTCTGCACTACCTGCTCGTTAAACAGGTTGTCGTGAGTTGACTGTGCTGTAACCTTTGTGTAGAACTGTGATGTTTGGTTTTTCTTAGCAAACTAAGGTTTATGGGGACCAACTGTGTCTGACAAGGCAGAACGGAATGTATGTTCTTAATTACAGGGTGTAAGTAAGCTACAAATTTTCAGGTGCCCCAGTGTGCACCTTAGTGAAACCAAAGTTATGAAATTTATCTAAATTAACTTTAATCTCAATGATGGTGTCAGTGGTCAATCTGCATGCCCAAAAGCAAGCTGAGTCAGATGTTTCCTGCACTGGATCCTCCATACTCTATGTAAAGGATAATGTGAGGTAATAGGCTAAATGAAAATATGATTTATGCTTTGTAGATGTTAATTTTGTGAACTGCTCTCCTTCTTCTCATTCATCTCTCAGGCTTTTCCACAACACAAGGAAGGCCAGTATGGGATGCCTTAAAAGTGACAATCAGTTATAGACAGCCTTTCACAAAGCATTGTGGGATATTAGGCCCAGTTTTCAATCAGGTTTTTCCTTTTTTAAGGAGAGAATCCAGCTTCGTAGGTGGATTTTTTGCAGGACAAAAAAATAAAGCTATGTAGTGTGACACTGCTAACAGACAGCACAACATGTTGGCTTCTGGCAATGTCAATCCTAACATCCTAACACAGCAGGGACACAGAAGCCATGCTAAAAATAGAAAAGGAGAAACTGCTACAACAAAATTTACGATTTTCTTTTTTTAAACCAGGACACTAATTTTTAAAAAGAGACATTGTTGCAGTGTTTCAAATATATTATTTTAGCACTTTGATGAGTACAAAGAAAAGAAAATGCTATCTGGTTACATAATGTTTAGGAGAAGGACAATCGTTATGGGTAAATAGCAGCACAGAAAAAAACAAAAAATGTTTATTTGATTTTAGAGTGAACTGTTGCTTCACAGATAAGTTAAGGTTCGAGGTTCATCCCAGGAAGTTGATTCTGTTCATCTGGACGTAGCGTTTCCATCCAAGTGACTTCTTCAGTCTCAGCTAACTGCAGGTTTCCCCAACCTTATAAACAGTACATTAGCATAATGACTGAAACTAGCACCACAGAATGAATATAATATACAAATTAACATACAAATTAATATACAAATTGTCATGACCATTGATCAACAGCTACTGATCAACAACCACTGATCAATGACCACTGATCAGTGGCGATGAATACCACTCACGGAGAGTTGGGGAATGGCTGCAATCACAGCATTTTAAGATGGTGAAAGATGTACCCTTAGGCCCCCTCCTCAAATCAGAGATGTTCTTTCCCTTTTCACATAAATTGCCTCTTTGACTCTCCGCTCAAACCAGCATTCCTCCCTGTCCAGGATGTGTGCATCCTCATCATTGAAAGAGTGTAGAGTGAAAGCCTGTAGGTGTAAATAGGTGCGAGTTAGCTCTTCTGTGTTGTGCCATCCGCTTTGCCAGAGGTTGTTTGGTTTCCCCGATGTATAAATCATGGAAATCTTAACAGCGTACACTACATTACTCTGTTTGTGCTGGGAGACCCGATCCTCAGGATGGGCCAATTAGTGGTGCAAGCGTGTTTGGGGGTTTGAAAGCCATAGAGATGCAGTGTTGAGAGAAAACGCGTCACAACTGTTCCGATACTCCTGACAAATAAGGGAACACTAAGGGTTTTCGCTTAGGCAGCAGTTGTTTATAAGGTTGGGGAAACCTGCAGTTGGTTGAGGCTGAAGAAGTCACTCGGATGAGTGATGAAATGTTTCTCCCACTGAAAACACTACGTCCAGATAAACAGAATCAAGCTTTTGGGATTTCCTCACCTGGATGTTTGACCATGCATCAAGATGTTTGAGGTTAAGTATGCTGTTGTAAAGTTCAGTGCCCAGGCTGACGTGTGCTTTGTTTGCCTGACCTGCAGTGCAGTCAGCAGGTTGCTGGTCTCTCTCAGTCGGGCCCGTGTAGCATCCAGCTCCTCCAGCAGCTTGTCCTGCGCCTCCTTCAGTGTGGAGATCTGCCCCTCAGCTGTTTTAATATCATTCTCCCCCTGCTGTACTTCTTGCTGCAGCCGAGACACCTGCAGGGAGGACAGACAGACAGAGTGAGGCAGAGAGAATAGACTCTGTCCACACCCGCCTCTCTGTTACACTTCAGGCTGTAGCTCAGTGTGGCACCAACCTTGAAACTACATCAGCATTTTAGGCTCAGCGAGGTGGAATTTCCATCAAAAATACATTCAATGACTGTTTCCATTTCAGATTTTTAAATGAGCCAAGCCCATATATTTTTTTTGCTAACATAGCAAAATAGTTTTGCAATGCATCACATATTAATTTCCCCAAATGTCTGAAGTAGTGGCTAAAAATGTTTGCATAAAGTACCCCAAAAAACAACAACAAATAGTGGCAGCAGATTTATACTGAGGAAACCTTGAAACTGAAAACCATTTACTGATTCAGTGTTTTAGTATGCAATCAATTTAATTCATTCATAATCATTTGAGCTAAACTCTCATCTTTATTCTTTCTTGTTCAGCTACTTTACTACACAAGTACTAAAGTCTTGTTGTTTTGCAGCAGAGCTGATCTGACCTGCTCAGGTGCAGTCAGGTTCAAAAAGAATTAAAACTGAAGCTTTGGGTTTAAAGTTTTATAAAAAGAAATCTCGAACCCAGTTACCTCCTCTCCTGGGCTCAGTTTGAGTTTACAAGCTCTATTTTTTCACACACTTAATTTTTCTGTGTCCTTTAAGAGCGACGGAAGCTGTGATTCTTAGAAGCGATCCTCAGCTCATTTTTCAGGGGCTAACATGACTGAAATGTGTTTTTATTTCAGCTTAAAAACAGCAAGCAGTTTTTAACACTCTGGGAACACATTTTTTGAAAAGCTCAAGATTCAGATGTAGGTTTCTTAAACTTTCTGTGGTGAGAAAACTGACCGGAAGTTAAAACAACTGTAATAGTATATGTGTGTATTTAAAAAAAAAATCTAAACTTTTACCAAAGTGTGCACATACTTAAAGAAACTCCATGTGCTCAAGGACATCGCTTCATCTGATCTCAAGAACGGGCACTAAACTGATTTAAAAGGTCAAGAATAAAATTTAAACCTTTCAGTTTTTCTTCTTTCCATTGAGATGCTTCTGATCTGTTTTCAAAGTGTTCCTTTAACTTTTTTGAGCAGCGTATTTACACAATATATTGTTTGCACACTTGAACAGAAGTTTTACAAAGTCAATGTGTCGTACCTCCTCAGTGGCTGCATTGAGTTTGGACGTCAGCTCCTCCCTCAGCTCATCCAGCTGCTGCCTGAGCAGCGTCTTCTGCTCCTCCAGTGACTGACGCTCCCTCTCAAACTGCTGCTCCAGCTCCTGTGGAGAACGATCAATAACACAACACTGTCAAAAACAACAGGGAAACTTAGAAAGCCAAAGTGAGCTCAAGACCTTGGATGAAAAGTTTTTGCGCCTGAAGATTCCTTGAACCCTTATCTGTTTCCCTCAGATAAGTGACTCACATAAAGGGGAAACAGTACGAGTCGTGCATGATTTAGTTGAAGGTCGAAGTTAAATTTAATCAGTATTCACGGTATTTAGCGTCTGTAAAGATTTTGAGTCATACAGGTAATGCAATATCTGAGAGACGAGTCAGGGCAGAAATGATTCATAATTCAGATGAAATCTTGTTAAAAACGGTCACGATCAAACAGCAAGTCATTTTTCCACTAACCTACTGAGTACCAATTAATCTAAAATATAGCAAAAGCTGCAAAACCGAAGGCCAACATGAACAACCTTGGGCTCAGTGAATAGGAGACACTTGAGAGGAATTTGAAATACAACAAAATCGGCATAACTGTGCCACCAGTCCATTATAAGAAATGAAAAACACCAGCAAATACTTACAATTTTACATCAGGCTAATAAAAAAACAGCTTTATAATGAGCCAGGAAACATTGATGTTACTGCACATGTTCTACATACTCCCACCTAAAACTCAAAAAGTTTCAAACTGCATTGAAGCGCAAAAAGTTACAGCAATTATTTCAGTCGTAATAGTCCTGAGTGGCCTCTTCAGTGAATGTACCAGGGTGGAAGAGGTTAGAGAAAACCTTTGCAAAGGTTTTTGTTAGAATTTCCTAACTGAAAGTCAGTTTTGCAAACCACATCTAAAACAATCTAAAAGCCAAGGCAGTCGCTCTTTCATTTAAGAGTTTCACCAAAACTGTGCTATTATACCAAAGTTTTATACCAAAGGTTTAGCAGACATAATCTTTAACATCAGACAAAGTGATGCTAATGGGAACATTACTGTGAGTTCATGTTTACTAAATGAATGTTAGCCGATGTAGAGATGCTGTAGACTTGACGTGTCATTGTTTGCCAGCAAGCTGATGTGGGAGGGAGAGAAAAAATGGAGCCTATACACAGATTATTAAAACAGTGCATACAGCGGTGTTGCACTACACCAGTACTGATAAAAAAATTTAATACTTCATAACAAACATCAATGTTGTGTTTTAAATACATACATTTGTATTTTGAGTACAAAAAAAGGTGTGGCTAAAGCACATATTAGATAAAGTTATGTTATGTTATAGATTTTTTTTTAAACTGATTTTTATTTTTTCTTGAGTATTTTGGAGTCTGTAGTACTTGTTATAATTTAGTTTTAGTTTTAGAGTTTAATTTGTTCCCTCAGTATTTCCTGTCTTATTCTCTTGTGTCAACCCACCTTTTATGTGTCTGCATTTCACCATTTAACAATTTTCCCTTCCTGTTTTATTTTGATAGTCTTTTGTCTCTAGTGTCTTGTGTTTAATTTTACTTCCCCTCCTGCCTCACTGCGTTTGATTATCTTAACCTGTGTTTTTTTTTAATCTACCTATCCATCCATCCATCCATCCATCCATACTATGTACTTTTTTTTAGACTTTTTCCATCAGCTGAAATAAAAACTTGCTTTTGTTTGATTTAACCTATCTCCACATATCTACGTTTGGATTCCCTTTGCCTGCAGTTCATGACATGACATAAAGTTACATTTCTAAGAAACTACATGTCTACAGTGGAGTTTATATAGCAACACTGTAGTTATGGATTTACTGCAGTGCTGTAAAAAGACAACTCTGAGGCATTAATAAGGTGACTACAATTCATCTACAGGTGTATCTGAACCAGATTTCAGGTCACTCCATCAAACATTTGTTGATACATTTTACTGGTGACTAAAGAAGGATCCAGATCCAGATCCAGAACTTGCCTCCCTCTCTCTCCTTTGTTTGACATTACATTCACTGCATTCATCTGTACAAATTTCTAAATATACTTCAAACATTTTCATTGTCCTTGGCAGTCAGAAGAGAAAGCGCTCTTGCAATTGTCACCACTATAAAGCTTATTATGTCTTCTGATGAATGGGGAATGGTTTCTGTTATACTGAGCGATGATTGCTACTTTCCAAGGACAATTAGAGCTCAGGGAAATTGCTATAATGTCAAATAAAATTTGCCACCGTTATTCATTACACAGGAGGATGGAGTTTGTAACGGCGTGCAAAAACACTCTGACAAGTGTGACAGAGTCCCATAAAAATGAATGGGACTTTAAAAAATGTATTTAAATGGAAGAAAGAGTGAAAAATCACAGTAATTCATGTGTAATGCTTCATGACTTCTTACATTCCACTCTCTGCTTAGAGCATGGAAAGTTTCTCTGTTGTCATTCTGACAAATGTTACAATTGTTAGCTCACCTTGCATAGAAAGTGAATATTTAATGACACAAGAATGCATGTGTAAAAAAAAAACCCTCTGCAATGTGTAATATTTTACACCAACATAACCAGTTAAAACATCACACATTGCTCCACTACTGGCTTCCCACAGCACAAAGGCTCAAATTAGTCTGACAGATGCTGTGAATCCTGCAAAAAACTGAAAATATACCAAAAAGACTTCAAAACATAACCCTAAACTAGAGCTGCATCTTTCTATTTTCTGCCCGGAGCCTGCTTCTGCCCCAGACCCCTGCAGAGAAAAATGAGGGCAAAAATCAGGACACAGAATAACTCTGTAGCAGTATGAGAACTGTATTTATTTTATATGTAGTTTATTTATTTTTTATTATTATAGGACACAATATGCAACATGAACCAAGAGATGCATTTATAGCCAAAGCTAGTCTGCAAGCCCCGTTCCTTGCACAGTAAATTCAAACAGTAACAAACAGTGACCAAAGAGTTACACAATCATTTAGTGACAGTATACTGAGAAAATTATACTCACAATAATGGGGAATAAGTGAGCCTACATTCACTCAGTGCCAATAAATTATGGTCCCTCCTTTTTGTGCCATTAAAAGGAGACTTCACCAACTATTCAGCTGCAAACCATAAAACAAAAACATTAAACTGAATATGGCACAATGACTCATCAGCCATCACAGTAAGGTAAGTACGACAGTCTTTCTGGGAGTTCTTACAGATGGCTGAAGAGGCCACAGTCTGGGCATAAGATGTGGTACATTTGTGCTGTGCACCAGTGTTAGAAAGGGGAGCTGGTGTGGTTGCTAGAAAGCATCTCATTATCACAGGGCATATGCAGGTTTCTACAATTTATGGGACTCTGGGGGCACACAATCGGTGAGAGCCTGCACTGCAGGGCCGACTGAGTCGACAAGCCGGCCTGGTCGAAATAAGGAAAGGGACATCTCGCCTTCCATCAAAGGCTGAAAACTTCCTGTATTTGCAGAAACAGCCGCCAATACAGAAGGATATACAGGAGGAGGTAAAATTGTATTTGACCAGATGCGTTCTGACCGTGTTTGTGATCCAGCCTCAGTTTGCTGAATTTACAAGAAACGTAAGAATTGGGGGGGGCACTTTAGCTCTAACTTTAAAAATCCTTGGGGATTCTCACTATACTCAAGTAAGTATTAAGAAAAAACATTGAAATATTTCAATACTTCAAAGAAAACAAAAACTATCTTCTAGATAAAAAAAAACATTTGTTTTAAAGTCCAACTTTTTTACTATTATTTAACCTTAAAAATCAGAGAATATTGTGTGAATTGCAGACTGTTTGGTGCTGAAACAGACAAAGTCAAATGGTGCAAAAAATAACAAAGAAATAAGAAATAATAAGAGAGAAGGAAATAATAAAGACATATCTATAGGCTCCATAGACTGTATATAAAAGATGGACAGAGCTTCCAGCTCTCATAAAAGAAGCAAAGACCTGCAACTTCTTTTAATGTAAAAAGAAGCCAGACTATGCATGGAAAAATGAACTTACTTTTCACCACATTTAATATCTCAGTAAACAGTTTATTGATATGTTTTTGGTCTCTAATTAATGACCAAGTCTTATTTTATAATAATAATAATGTATCTTTTATTGATCCCATTTAACCCATTCACTCAGTGAAGCAGTGGGCAGCCACCAATCTAGCGCCCGGGGAGCAGTGTGTTATACAACATGATGCTCATTGTGTTTTACACTGTGGCTTCCACCTTATTTAAATTAAGATGGACAAAATTCTCAACTCAAGATGTTAAAACAGAACACAACTAACTAAAGGGGTGATGTCACAGCGACTGTCCATCTTGTATAGAAAGTCAGTGATTATGACACAGAAGGATTAATGTCATGCCAGGTAGCTTCATTTAGAGCGTGAGACAAAGGCAGAATAGATCCATTTAAATTCAAAATGCAGCCTCCTCACAGACAACTGTCATTATAATTTAAAGTGATGAAAGAATGAAGATGATGAAAGAAAAAATGATTAACTAGAAGTGATGAAACTTGGATCAGACAAAAGAATTAGGTGATGAAGATTCATTTCTTCTCATCTGTCTGCTCTGTCATTTTTGGAGAAAAGATGTAAAATTGTGAGTGAGTGAGACAGGAATGAATGCTGCTGGTCGCCCTCCTCCTCATCCTCCTCCCCATCACTCTTTAAATCTGAACAATTCTGCACACAGTGCTGACAGCATAATCATGAACAGGACTGAACAATGGCAAATTACTGTGCAGTTGAGAACGCAGTGGGAGGGAATAGGAAGCCGTGAAAATCCCACAGAGCCACGGAGGAGAAAGTCTTCGTATGGAATGCATATCTATAACTACAGAAATAATAACAGTCTTCTCTTAGCGCTGCTTTCCCATCTGATCCGGTCTACAGTGGAATATCATTTAAAACATCCTCATTATGCAACTTTGATGCAAGAGAATACTTGATCACTTGCTTTCACATGGCTGTGTGACTGGAATGAAGGACTCTTGAGATTAGGCATCATCACAAGGCTATTTCGGGCTGGTGGAACTGCATGCCACGGCTGCAGTCAAATCAGTGGTAGGCTGCGATTTGGA